AGTTGACCCACTATAGCTGTTCCGTTATCTTAGTGTCAGTCCCCTCTTAGTTACTATGTACCTTACTTGATTGCTAACCTTACTGCTTTAGCTGCTGGAGCTAACCTCTAGGACTAATAGAAAAAGGGAAATAATATAAATTTAGAAATATTGTTTTCAGCAATCATTTAACAAACAGTCTCAAAATATCTTTGTAAACAAGACAAAAAGTGATCAATTAAACCAAATAAGAACATGCATTATGATGCTGTAAGGTTGTGTCCAAGACTTTGCCTCAGTATTTTTTATTTGGTTCTTCACTGTTCAGTGTGTTTCTGAAGTTTTCTATTGGAGGAATAATTGTTCTCTGGCTCGTTTAGATTTCTCTAACTCTCCATGAAAACACAAGTGTAACGGGTCAAGTTCATGGCCTACATTAAGAATGTAGAAGTGCTTTGTTTTGTTTTTCTGGGGAGAAAATTGTCTTCTCATCATAAATTTTCCTAAGAGCTCAAATTGATAGCTACAAAAATTATTTTCAAAATTGGAATCTACAGTGAGTGTTTTACTTTGGTAGGATTCATTTAGTGCTGAGGAATCTGCCCTGTCTTCACGACGCTCTTTTAGACAATCTCTTTTTAAATACTCTTACCAACAAGAATGATACAGTCGCACCAAACTTAAGAAATATACTTGCACAGTCACAGTACATTTGGAAACAATACAGGATGTCACAAAGATCAGAAACTTGGTAGGTAGACGGAGGGCTACATCCCATCATCAAAACTCACTAGCTGCATGGCTTTGATCAAAACTTTCTCTGTGTTTTAGGTTAGTCAGCTCATGTATAATGAAATCAAATATACACATAAATTGCCTCTCATAGTTTCTGCCACAGAGGCAGTAGTCATTAAGTAGTATTTGCTCTTCAAAATATACCATAATTTTTATTAAGAGTGAAAATGGAAGCAAACCAAGTAGAAAAATTGATAAGGAACTCATAGTCTATCTACTTGATGTACAGTTTATTAGATTACATTGACACAGCAATGGACTTCAACATAGCAGCAGTGGTGAGCAGAGTGCAGGACTGGGCAGTGTTTCATTCTGTTAAACAGAGTCACAATGGTTCGGACCCTACCTGACGGAACCTAATAAAAACATGTACATGTATGTTAATATGCTTTACTGAGTGGCCATACTCGCTGCCACTGAGTCAATGCTGACGTACAGTGACACGCTGTGGGTTTCTGCAACTGTAACTGTTTACAGGAGTAGAAAGCCCGGTCTTTCTCCGGAGGAGGGGCTGCGGGGGATTTTCAATTGCCTACCGTTCAGATCTCAGCCCATCGCATAACCACTACACCACCAAGGCGCCTGTTAATATGTTTTAGTTAACTAAAATATATAACAGTAGAGTTCAACGAAAAATAGGCTAGGGCACTATAACTATACATTTGTTTTTTAATTTTTATAGAAATTATATTGCTCCTGAAATGGCAGATGAAATACACCAGGACAAGTTTTGCCACTTTAAAATATGTAAGAAAATGAGGGTAAGGTTTTAATGAAGCAATTAACACAAATAACCTATTAAACTATAATCTGAAGTCTAAATCTCTGGTAAACCAAATCCTAGTGGAAATGGCTTTAAAATAAAGACAAAGAACTAGGCCTACATTTCTCAGTCTTATCTTAGAACCTCGTATGAGGGTTTATTTCTTTGCTTCGGCTTCCTTGTCTTTCAAGTGGAGAATCCTTAATCCTAACCCCAGCCCTTTTCCAATTTCATGATGCCTTGGAAATATGCCATTTAGGAATGTGTATAGTAAATAGAGCCTATTTTAGAGAGCTGTGTAATGTTCTAAAGGATATGATCGATTGAGACAGTAGAGCATAGCCTATAGGCAAATCCTGTAAGGTGCTTTAATACACACACACACACACACACACACACACACACACACACACACACACCCTTCTACCTTCCTTTTGGCACATCCCATGTTTGGCAGGTGTATTCCATTCCTTACAGGAAGGAATAGGTGCTTCATTGTATTTTTGAAGTCAGGTAGCTTTTGCAAAACCGGTAATTGACATTTTCCTCATTTCTGAGATCGTATTTTCATAAATCATTCAACCTGGATAAACGGAGAATGTGGTTAATCTAGTAATTGTTGAAATTTGGTAAAGACGTTGCAAAACATGGTACTTAAGTTTTTCCTTCTCATCTCTTACTTGAGGAAAGAGTAAGGAGTCTACAGTAGACAGGCAGGGAAAAAGAGGAAGACCGCAGCCAAATGAATCGGCACCGGAGCTGTAGCATAAAATTGTAGCATAACAATGTCAAAGAGGGCGTAGGGCCAGGCAGTGTTTCGTTCTGTTGTACCCACGGTCACTGTGATTCGACACGCACTCAACAACTCTTCACACCAAGACGTGTAAGGAGGGAAATGTCCTAGTGTATAAAAAAGAAGCAACAGTCAGATGAGCCTGAAGCCAAAGAGTAGATTATGACGGAGCTTTTTATGTTTTTTCTTTAAATAGTTTAAAAAAAAACATGATAGTATAAAGTGCCGACATTTAACGCCAATATCAGGATTAAATTAGCAGTATTTCTTGTGGGGTTGCAGTCCACCGTGCGCCTGTTTATTCCTGAGAGAATGTGTTTAAACAAGTCACGACCATCAGAGGAGGACCACATACAAGTTCTCTCGGTCATATGTTTGTCTTAGTCTTGTGAGCATTCTTTAAAGAACCGTCCAATCAAAACAGCTACTGCCAAGGGATCCACGGTGCCGGTGAAATTCAAAGCCGAGAAGTTAACTCGGGTCGTGGTGGCGGTTTTGAGGCATTCCAAAAAGGGCAATCCTGATGTAATTTCTTAAAAACACCCGACGATTACAGGAGTTTATTAGTAAGAAGTTTTAAGAAAATCAAATACTGCGTTGATGAGAAAAAAGAATGGGAAAGCGGCCCCAAGGAATTTTTCCTTCATAACAATTTGCCTGCTTATTCTTTAGAATAGCCAGGAGAATTTCCTTGGGAAACTGTACCCCAGCCACCCTACAACCCTGATCTTGCCCCTTCAGACTTCTTTTGGTTCCCCAAACTCAAAAGAAATTTCCAAGGAACATGATATGCCCAAACTGCCCTTTACGTGGAGGGAGGGGAAGCACACAGATCCCCAGGGAAGGTTAGAGACATGGAAACACTGCCGTCGGAAGTGGACACTATAGACCGACGTGGAGGATTTGTCAAGAAATAATGGCTCCACATTTCTATATTTTTTATTTAATAAAGGTTTCTATCATTTTGTAGCAATGCTTTTTTTTTTTTTAACTTACCCATAAATACAGAGTGCTTCTACTGAGAACTATTTGGCAACCATTAATTCAAGTTACTCTGAGATTTTGACAGTAAACTATAGTTCACTTAAGACACTTCTAAACCTTAGGCTGTAGTTTTCTGATTCATCCTCCACACCTCATTTGAATTTCTAAAATTTTGCTTTAAAGGATTTATGTAGTCCTGTGAATTGTAAAATCACAAGGGAAACTCCAACTAATACAGACTACTCTGTGAATGCAGTGAATGGTCCAGTGAACCTCTTAGTTATTTCAGATGTTTGTGTGAAGCTGTTTGTGTGGATATGTAAGGCGAATGCATGGTTTCCAAATAAGAAATGCAATAACTTTAAGCAAGATTCATCTTTTTTACTCTAAGGTCATTATTCCATCTCTCGAAATAAAGGTTTTGATTCATTGACTTGCTTTGCACGCTATCCTGCTTTCGGTTAACAGAACTCCTGGAATATGCAGAACCATCCAGCACACTTGAGCTGCACGTCAGTGTTGTGTGCGGTCGACTAACTCATTCCTGGATGAAACTTCCAAACTGACTGAACTATTGGGCATGACAGAAAATACCCCTATGCCTTCAGCGACTTGCTCTGTGTCGTGTTAATTTGCAGAGGACCCTGATGCATGGGTTCCATATAATAAAAAGGATACCAACTGTGAAGCGGGCTAGGCATGGAACAACCACTTTGGGAAAGAAAACCTGTGTATTTGAAAGATTTGTAAATGTATGAATTTAGCAAGATTTTGGGTTAGCTTTTATGCTTTCTGTAAAATAATAATAACAGTGGTCTGACTCTGTCATCATTTGGCAAGAAAATTCTGAATGATGCACGTGAAAGCAATCTCTCTCCTATAGAATAACCAAAGAACTATGAACACCGAGAATACGGTTTCAAACTTTTGACTATTTTTCAGTTTAGTAGTGGATTTTTCTATCAACTATAAAAATCACTTTATTTGACAAAACAGCCTGCTGATCATAGGTAATTCCTAGTCTATTCACAATATCTAGGAGTAGAAACTTCTTTTTTTGGTGGCCGGGGGACTTCTTTTTAAAGGTAATGCAGAAAGTCTGGATTTATTGGTGTTAAATCATTTGCATGCTACTTGAACAGGAAGTCCCATCCCCCCATCCTGTGCCCTCCCCACCCCCCCAGCACCAGATTCCTTGCTTTAATTTAATCAGCTGACTTTAAGGAAAGAAAGAAACTCAATGTGTTATTTACTTAACTATAAGATTGCTGGTATTTTTGTGTTGGAAAATGTGCTTTTTAAATTTGTTTAGTTAAAATCAATTTGAAACTGTGCTGCGTTTAATATGCTCTCCTGTCGTTGCCTAGTCCACGACTGGTTCACAACCTTAATGCAACCAGTTAAATGTCTCAAAGTGGATCCTGGTGAGTATCTTCGCGAAGCATCTGATGCTGACTTCGTCCCAGGATCTAGGTTAAAGTTTGCTGTTGCTGTTGTTTTAACCTGAAATCCTTGACATGCTGTGCCAGTGTCTCTCTGACAGTAATGCTTTGTGTCTTCCGGAGACTTCCGCCCAGGGCTGTTGGTCACAGGAAAACACTGTTCTTCTTCAGTCAAAACATAACTAACAATAATCACACTTTTTATTCTTTTCTGCTCTCCCATACCACCCTCCCCCTAACTTAGACTGGAAAGGCTGGTGGACGTCCTGAGGAAGAAAGTTGGAACAGGGACCATCAGGACGGTGATCTGACTGAAACCCCGCCAGTCTGGGGAGGCAGTCACATCTGGTGACCAGGCTGCTTCATTCAGCACTGTGTCAACACGACAGCCTTAACTTAGCAAACAGCTGTTCGAAGTGGGCCACTCCAACCACATTCCAAGCTGAGATAAAATCAAATCACCAATGTTTAACCACTTTGCTGCTGACTTGGGTTATTTATCCAAATGTATTAACTGCAGACTTTTAAAAAACCAGTGGGGAACTATAAGGTTGCAGCTTATTTTGTAGCTGTCTTATATCTCAGTCTATTTTTATATTAATCTTTTTACTGAGATATGATTACAAGAACATGGTAAAGTTGTTCATGATCATATCTTTGCAAATGACCCTTGTGGAATCAAAATGAAGCACAGTAAATTTTGTTTAAACCCTACTCTACTCTGTGAGTCAGAATTTCAAATATAAGCATATTTTAAGATAGAATGTATATCTTAGCAAAGGAGAGAAGGTTCAGCTATAAGAATTGTAACTTTTATTCAATGCTTATGTATAATTTTTGCTGATATTAAAGAATATTAAGTACAGATGCTAGAAATTAAATGTATAATTTACTTTAGTAAGAGTAAAGTATGTTGCAATATTCTTCATAATATTTTGTTTCACTGTAAGTAAAATGCTAACAACGTTCAATGATGAAAAAAGACTGCCAACATGTATTCATATTCAGAATCTTTTTATTGTTGGGAAAATTATCTGAAGCTTAAAAAAACCTATCAAAATTACCAAGTCTCAGTCCAGTAGACCAGGTCACATTCTGCTTGAAAATCAGCATGTGGTAGCGTGCTCCTATTCCAAAAGATTAGAGGCCACCAAACTAAGTAAGTTTTCTTTTTGATTGTCATGACTTAGATTATTATTGGATCTCTGGAAGAGAGGGCTCCCATACATAATAAAATCAGAATGTGAAGTGTTAGTTTAAAAAGAATAAAGAAACCCTGCATCTTGGTCCTGGTTACCTACATTCTCTTTTTGTATTTTTGCGTTTTCTTTTATTGAAAAGATTGTTTAAAATAGTGCATACAAGTCACTTTTAATCATGTGAAGTTATGAATAAAATAGATTTTATGTATTTGGCTATAGGCGGTGAAAACATCATTTTGTAAAGATTAAGTAGATGAGAGGTCAATAGGAAATGACCATGCCTGGAACTGGATGAGCTAGGTCGGTTGAGATTGAATCAGTAAACATGTCATAATGCAATACAAATTTTTCTGATCCCTTAAAGAGTATAAGTTCATCTTGAAGATTGACCTAAATTATCTACAATTGCCTGTTTTCAAGAGTGGAATAGAATAATTTACTAAAACTAATCCATCATATGCCATTGGAGATTATTCCCTTGAATTTACCTCTGCAGAAAAGTGCTTCCTCATAGATTAAATTCTATCCTAATATGCATCCTCATAGATTAAAATAGAATCAGAATGACAAATGTTACTTTTCTTGTTAAATCTATAACCATTAACTTAACTAGCATTCGGAATCATCCGGTTGAGTTTGAATTTAGAATTTACTCACATTGTCATGTTCTAAAATTATTTTTTTAAACTATGAGAATTAGAAAAATATAGATAGAAGACTTGTATAGTTACAAAAGTATGCATAATTTTACATTGGGCTCTCTATGGAAACATAAAACAGACCCTTACTGAAGTCACCCAGGATGTGCAGGAAACTAGAAAACTCACTCTTTTCAGAAAACACAAAATAGTAGTACATTCCTGATCCTTCTCCCCAAATTCACAAGTAAACTTCCATTTTCAGTTCAGCGCTGGAGGACATAAGGCTCTCTCCTGAGTCACTTTGCTCGGGTTTTGGAAAGCACAAAGTAAAGTATAAAAACATCTCAGAATGTTCAGGCATCTTTTTATATACTTAAATGATCAGATTGAGAGGAATTGATCCTTATTATCAATTTCCACAATGATTTTTAGAGAGTGTGATATTATAAAGCTAAATGCACAAAATAGCTGTGATATTGATTGTCACTCAGTGTAAGTAGCTCAGAAACCAGACTCCCAGCCCTCAAGTGGATGACTGCTCATCGCGATCCTGTAAGACAAGCTTTCCGACACCTGCCCTTGTGCGTTTCCAAGATTGTTAACTCCTTTTGCGGGTAGAAAGCCGGTTTGCTCCCTCAGGATGGCCAATGATTTAGAACTGCTGACCTAATTTTATCATTGATTTGAGTTTTTGTCCTTTAAAATGTCTACCACGAATGATGAAGGCAATGAATGTACAAATGTGCTTTACACAATTGATGTATGTATGGACTGTGATAAAAGTTATATGTGCCCCTAATAAAATGATTTTTTTTAAATAAAATAAATTGTCTATCACAAATATTTCAGAATAGTCTAGTTTTTGTAGGAAGAAATGTTCTTGTTGACTGAAGGCCAGCTGTCTGCTGATCCCATGATCATAGAGCCTCAGAATTATTCCATATTGCTCAGATATGTTGCTTTCAGTCTAATTCCTGTAGTAATAGGAGAACCCACAGCTCATAAAAATAAGTACTTTGATGATATACAAAATCCTTTCACACCTTTTGTTGTCTTTCCAGCCTCTCAACAACCATATAATATTAATAGTATATTGCATAGCAATTATGTAATGATGATATGATAATTTTAGTATTAGTGTTACTGTTAACACATCCATGTTACAGATAAGGAAACAGAATCCAGAGAGGCTAGGAACTTGCCAAGGATCTATTTGACTCACAACTGCTGTCTAATGACTAAAAGCCATGCTACTGTGGGTCCTCCAAATGTCCTACAAGCCAAATAATTAAAATATGTTCATGCGTGCAATCTCTGTTGTTATTGTTCTGTTTCATTAATAAGCTTTCATTGAATTATCTAACAGTTATACTTAGTTCTGTAAGTACAGTAAATGCTTGATATCATTACTATTTCTCTGTAGAATTATACTAACAGGATGCTTTCTCATAGCTAAGGGAAAGCTAATTATAAATTATAAATGTATAATTATAAATATAACTGATATCATACTACAAATATTATAAACTATTATAATACTGTAATATTTATAAGTATTGTGATTTTATTGATAAATAATCAATGATAAAATTTTATTAAAATAACCTAGAGTTTCTTTATATTATTTTGACTTTGACTTGATTAATAAAATGGTACTTTAAATTTACGCTATCTCCTTATAACTTTTCATTCTCCCTTTATAAATAACACATTAAAATCTTTATACTTAGCATATTTTAATATATTTGCTCTAGAAATGTTTTGATTGTTCTTTATAATGAGAATATTGACACTATATATCTCTTTTTTTACAAATACCTGAAGAATATTCTTACCATATCACCTACTGATAAAATTTGTTTATAGCACAAAGAAATTATAGTATTAAAGCTTTACAGTTTATATTGCTTATATCCATTGCCATCAATATAATTTCAACTCATATATTACTCCATAGAGTTTCTGAAGCTGTGAACTGTGTGGGAGCAGACTGCCACATCTCTCCCCCAAGGAGGGACTGGTGAATTTGAACCACTGCCCTTGTCAGTTGAAGGCTAAGCCAGTGTATCACCAGGGCTCCTTAATATTGTATATAGTTTCATAGGAAATACTATTATATTTAATGTTTTTGAATATTAATTTTTCCCATTTTCAAATGATAATACTCAATGAGACCTGAGATGATAAAACAGCCACGGGTTACACATTTTGTTGTTTTACATATGGTTGGCTTCTTGTAATCATATTTAAGACACTACTTTTTTACAATTAAGATTGTGTTGTTAATAATTATTCGTCATGATTAATCTGTGTAATTTTTATGTATACATTCATATATGTTTATAGCTTTATATACTATAAATACTATATATAACCATATAGTATATAAAACGCTGTCTATATGAATATACACACATATACACATAGATAAACTAAAAAAATTGACTTTGTTGGAAAATTGATTTTTAAGTCAACTGTTAGACTCTAGTGGTTTCAGTGTTTTGTTCATTTTAATTGGAAATGCACTGGTTTTTGAGGCTTTTAAACAAATACATAGAATAGTTGAAAGATTTATATTGCTCATGCTTAACTAAATATGTCATCTCTAGAAAAATTGTGGTTTATTTTGGCACTGTTATAAAAAACTCAAATATTTTAAACATTTGTTAAGTTGGAGCTTGCACATTTGAACTAGTAGCATGCGTTCCAGAATAACATCTCGAGTTACCAAACTGCTTGTAATAAACTTTTCAGTAGAATACATTTTTTCAAGTTTTCTTTTTGATTATGTGTTTTAGTGTTATTTAAGGTTAATCAGTAAAGTTGAAGTTATTATTTATTTAATGTAGAACATCATAAGTAGAATTTTATAATCATAAATGTGTACTTTTGTAATTATTAACATTCTGCATGCTCGTAATCATTTCCTTATACAATTCTTAGTATTTTTATTTAGTTCTTATTTTTTTTTCCAAATACAGTTTGGGAGAAAACTACAATTTGGAAGCCATGAATTTCTTGGGTATATTATTATTAACAAAGGTGCATTTTAATGCACAGACTCAAAATACTTAAAAATAAATTTTTTTATTCATATAAAATTCCCTATTGCAAACTCTGCACAGTTTTCATTGCAGTTCTTACACATTAATCTTATGCAAGTTCATAAGTGTAAAATTAGAAGACATTGCCTTGGATATGAATAATAAAATACATTGCAGTAAGGCAGTGGTTCTCAACCTGTGGGTCACGACCCCTTTGGGCATTGAAGAACCCTTTCACAGGGGTCGCCTAAGACTATCGGAAAACACATATTTCCCATGGTTTTAGGAACTGAGACACTGCTCCTCTATCTATCTTCAGGCGGGTCTGCCCACAAGCAGATTCGTCCACATACAATTACCTGGCTTGAAAGACCCATCCATGTTACATCATGCTTCAAGACAAAAATTCATGTATTTATAGTTAGAAGTAAATATTTCACAATATATAACATATTGTTTTGTGATTAATCACTATGTTTAATGATGCTCAATTTGTAACAATGAAAATACATCCTGCATATCAGATATTTACATTATGATTCATAACAGTAGCAAAATTACAGTTATGGAGTAGCAACGAAAATAATTTTATGGTTTGGGGTCACCACAACATGAGGCACTGTATTAAAGGGTCTCAGCATTAGGAAGGTTGAGAACTACTGCTTAAAGAAACAATAAATTCACCATCAAACTATGTCTGACCTCCTTAACATGACTAATAGGACAAAAAAACTCATATGAACAAATTTGTCTGTACATCAGGGACCTTTTAAAACTATTTAGATATAAAATAAAGTTATGAAATCAAATATAAAGGAAAAATTCTATGTTAGATAAATAAGAACTTAAGAAGGGAAATAAAATGATCTTATTTAGAAAGTAATAGGCCAAATCTTCAAATCACCTCTACAAATATTGCAGTCTGTAAATGGGATTTTGCTATAACTGATAACAAAATTCTAAAAAATTACTGTTCTTATTTTTTTTCATCATTCAGTAAGATAAATCTAAACAATGCAACACTCGATCACATGTAGAGCCCTTCGAGTTTAAAGCTTAGGGTACATGGCAAAAGGAGCATTCAAGATCTCTTGCTCATGGATCAAAAGACACAATATAGTAAAGATGTCAATCTTACACAAGGCACTATATAAGTTACAAATTGACCACCAATTTCAGATGGAGAGGGAAGAAGCCCAGAATTAGCGAAGACCTTCTCAAGAATAAGGACAAAGTTGGAGAGCTTGCTTTACCTGACTTTAACACCTATTATACAGCCACAGTGGTCAAAACAGCATGGTACTGGAATAATTAGACCAATGGAAAGGGACAGAAAAATTAGAAATAAAACCATCAGATTATAGACAACCAATCTTTGACAAGGTCTCAAAAGGCATCAAGTGGAAGGTGGATGTCCTCTTTTAACAAGTGGTTCTGGGAAAAAATGGATATCCACCTGTAGAAAAATAAAGCCAGACCCTTACCTCACCCCATGCACAAGAACAAACTCAAAGTGGATCACAGCCCTAGAAGTAAAACCTCAAACTATCAGGACCATCAGCGAAGGAATCAGGACAAACATAAGAACCTTGGCTCAAGGAACACATAGGCTAAGTACAATAGGGAAGGGTACGCACACAGGTGAACCTGAAATTGACAAGTGGGATATACTAAGGATAAAACACCTGTGTGCGTCGAAAGACTTCACCAAGCGAGGAACAAGAGAGCCCACAGACTGGGAGAGGATATTTTAGAAATGGCACAACAGACAAAAGGGCTTATGACTAAAATCTACGATACCCTCCTAGTCTGCAAAAAGAAGAAAGTGGTTAACCCCTTGAGGAAGTGGACAAAAGACCTGAAAAGAAGTTTCACTAGGGACCAGACCCAAATGACCAATAAACATGAGAAGATGCTCCTGCTTATTAGCCATTAGAGAAATGCAAATTAAAACAACAATGAGCTACCACCTAACACCCTTGAGGATAGCCCAAATCAGAAAATCAGACAGCAACAGCTGTGGGAGGGGATGTGGCGAGACAGGAACTCTCCTCCACCGCTGGTGGTCGTGTAGATATGTACAACCTCTGTGGAAAGCGATCTGGTGATATTTAAAGAAAATTAAAATTGAACTACCCTATAACCTAGCTATCCCTCTACTGGGCACATACCCAGAAGACGTAAGAAATAAACCACAACCAGTCATCTGTGTTCCAGTGTCTACTGTGGCACAATTCACAATTGAAAATTGGAAACAACCTAAGCTTCCATCAGTAGACAAGTGGATTCGAAAACGCTGACACATACACACAATGGAGTACTACCCATCACTAAAAAGCACTGATGATCACATGAAGCACATCATCTCATGGGAAGAGTTAGAGGAAATTATGCTAAGCAAAGTTAGCCAATCACAAAAGGACAAGTACAACATGAATCCCCTTCAGGTAAGTATAATCAGCACAGTAGGTATAGAGAAAAAAACACTTATCTCACACTATACAGGTTGAGGTACAGG